CTGGTGCCACCGAAACACACCACTTCTTGCTAAAGCAACACCTGGGTAAGCCTGCTTGATCATATCAAACGTCTCTGTGGCAGATTTACAGAGTTTCACACAGAATTTAATCGCGTACCTCTGCTCTAACGAACGCTGCATTTTCGGCTTGCACCACTCACAGAAACACGTCGCGCGAAAATGCCTGTCCTGACTCTCCAAGTACTCGGAGACAACTGACCAGCCGCTCATTCGTTAGCCAGGAACGCCCTCTACCGAATCCAGTCGGTGAGCGCACGCTCCGAGGTACAGTCATGGCGGAAGAAAATGAGTCCTATTACTTTCCGGACAAACCCTGTATGACAGCCCCAAGACTTTTTGAAAAAGGTAGTCTCGGTTTCTGACGACACCATGTAAAATTGTCAAATATGATATGCTGTTTCTCAAAAGGGCAGCGCGTACGGTCCTGTCTGTAGGTTTGCCTACCTAAAAGCCGAGATGGCAGACGTCAAGTGCGTGACGCCGCGTTAGGCGCGTCGGCATCGTGAGGTGTGCGCCAGGTGCTAGACGATAGAGGCCTTCCTGGCTACGGTCTACCTTTAGAGCCGAAACACACGTTCAATTCGCAGTAATTCTTTCTTAATTCAGTATGCCAAAGTAGCTGAAAAGTACTTCGGAAGTGCGCAAGATGTATCTCGGAGACTTGCCGGCTCCCGTTACACGTCTATATGTATGTACAGTCTGCGAACATCAAAAGCTCAACATTTGTTAGCCCACAAAGTAAAGTTATAAATTACTTTAAGACTAATTAAGCCTAAAATACTCTTCGGGGTTTGTTCGAGCTTTAATTTATACGCTTGCTAGTAATTTTTAGCTGAAGTTTAGGCATTAAAAAGGCCTATTTTCAGGAATTTGAGACATTAAATCGCGTATATGTCGAAAACGAAGGCGCTCAACTTTAGAGAACGGTTACTAAGGACCTTTTCGTTCAGAATATCCGAAAAACAAAACAGAAAAACTATGTCTAGTGCGAACAAAACTTTTGATTGATGCTAAGGGGCATGCAATAAACGTTATTATTAAAAAAATCGAGTTTAAAAATGTCTCTCATGAACGTAAAGCTTTCGCCTCTCGCCTAAGATCCCAGCATATGTTAAAAAATGATCACTGGATATCGTGGATACAGGCGCATTTAGAGGGAGCCAGTCGCCCCCTAGACGCTCAAGTCTGTCATTTTATCAAAGATAATGGTATATTTCAGTGTCGTAGTGTAAAAACTATCATCGCTCTGTAAAATGTTATTTTCAGCTTTAGAAGAAAGTTTAATGAAAACGTAGATAATTTGTTTCTTTAGCTATACAAAGCTGATTCCAGTCTGACCAATTAGTAACTTCCAGGATATCCAGTTATCATTTTTCGGGTGCTAAGACATTAGAGAATACGAAAACGTCTCATTCGTGGGAGAAAATTTCTAACTCGATTCTTTTCGTGATCATTTTTGTTGGATGTCCCTCAACATAAATATATAAATCACTAGATAGATCTTACACGATTAAGTGGTACATAAACTTGCCTAGCAGCAAACAGTCGCGAGCCTAGATAAATGACTTCATGATCGACTGTACAACCTTGCATCTTGTGAACAGTCGAAGCCCAACTTAGGATTAATGGCAACATTCGCAATGAACAAGGCGAGAATGCACTACCTTGAAAAAGTATCTGCCTCCGTTGTGTTGTGCCGAGTGCCCGAATCAACAAAGAGTAAGTCCGAAACTACACGCATGCTCAAGTTACGCGATAGCTCTATCTGTCTTACTCCTCTACAAAGGATCTATAAAAGAAATTATCAATCCTAAGAAGGATAATGCAAAACTGTGTGTCAAATTATTGCATTGTCATCGGTCCTTCATACGTGTGCGAACTTTCAATTTAATCAAACTTCTGGAAATTGGTGAAAATTATGCTCAAAGATTCCATACATACAGACCAAGCTAATAAAACCGTGTTAAAAACTATTATCTACAAGGTTACCAAGTGCTTAAATCAAACCGTGCCCTACAAAACCCCGAAGGGTATCTCAGGCTTAGTTTATTTTAAAGAAATTTTTAACCTTGCTTGATAGGCTAACAAATGGTGAACTTTTTATTTTCGCAGACTGTGTAGTATCGAATTTAATGAAACGGGAAGGCTTATACTAAATTCATTTTCGACATGTATTCAGTCAAAACAAATATATCTGCGTCTTAAGCCTTCGGTAACGGAGGTCCTGATCTGTATTGCACTTGACGTTTGTATGCCGAAATAATTTATCCAGGTGTTGCACTGCTAAATAGATGGGTTCAACGCAAACAAGCCAACTGCAGTCTCCTACACATAAGTAAAATTTGAGCGAACATTTATGGTCTTTCGAGGAAACATCACCTGTTACAGATTTCTGTAAACTGAGTACGGCTCTGACCAGTCTGGCCTTATACCCTACTCCACGAGTATCCATCACGGTAGAATGACAGCTGGTTATTTAGTATATTTCAAAATCCCCCATAACAGCAAACGACACATAATTCCGACGGATCCGTCAATGCCAGATAGACAGAGCCATATATTGCTTTTGTTTTTTGTACTTGGTAAACGCTCTTTTAGTTAGAAACGTTCATTTGCATACCAAAAATCAATCGCTACAAACAAATGTTTGCTAGATTTACACCCGATTCATTATAGCCAACGTTGCAGACTAACACAAAAATATCTCTTGCTGATCAGCTGTTCACCTCAGTAGACGTCCAAGCGTGATGGATACTCGTGAAATAGAGTGTATGTGATATATGATATATGTCTACTATCTACCGTCCCTCAAAAATAAATTTAGTACTGACAGCGAATTATTCCTTAATCCTTTTTGGGGCACTACTGGCGTAATAAATTAACAAAGAATCACTGCAGAAGCAATGTGTGTTCGCACTCTTTACAATACAGATGGAGCAGAACGATGGGAGGGACTGATTCATGACATCCCTAAAATGCCGTCTAATTTATAGCCAAGTATATTTGGAACATTTCCGTCCGTCCTACGTCCTACGCATTTTATAGCTGGACACGATTTGGAAAGTTTAGTTTTATTCATGGATTTTTCGTGCAGTTTTTACTACACACTTTTAATACAAGATAGTAGGTATTATATTTCCTCCGCAACATAAAAAAAAATTATGTAAAGCGTAAGTATAAGGATAATAATTGTATGTTCTGTATACAAAAGAAGGCTAGGAAAGTTAACTTGTTCTTCAGCCAAATATACAATTATAAAAATACAAATTTCAAGATTGTTGCCACAAAGGAGTATCAATGACAAATAAAAGTAATGCCACCAAAGGTAAATCTCGTGCGTGACCGACCCATTTTTGTCGTTTGTATATCCGCAGTTATAAATAAAGTCTCTCAAATATCTGGTAATGCACTATGTGCACTGACATACTTTGGTGTTACAGGATCATTGTCAGAAACGACAAAACTTTGAAGTGAAACTGTGGCACTTTAACTGAATTCAATAAGAAATAACATGGATTAAAAAACTAAACATATTGGGCCGCAACATGTACATTAAATAGGTATATTGAACTAAACTGTAATAAAAACTTACATTCGTACACTACAATATTTAATATTTAATATTAACACGTTAAAAGCGTACATCAATGGTAAAGGAGAATAAAACTAAAATGACATTACAAAACTGGTAGATACATTTGAGTTGTGAACAATAAAGATAAGGATACATCAAGTGTAGAATAGAATAAAATTAAATCAAAATCGAAGTGTCCATCATACATGAGATACGGTATAAATAAATAAAATATAATAAAATAAAATTTAATGAAATGTAGCAACATTATAAATATTTACAGAATGGTGACTTCACCTTAGTTGTGAAAAGTGACATGTGACATACAGTGTTCTGCCTGCTGCAGAATTTTAATTCTTCCACAATCTCGATACCCTAAGGACAAAGGAGCGGTTGTATTGGCCAGTTCTGGATAAACGAAGTTCGACACGGTTAGGACGGCAGACCGAAGTCAGGTGGGTCTGTACCATGGAGGAGAGCTCTGATGAGCAAAGTCCATTGACGTAGCGGTATAAGAGAGCTAGATAGCCGACGGCCCGCCGGTGCGAAAGGGTCCAGAGACTGACCGTTAGAAAAGAGCTATTGACATGTGAGCAGCACTCGCAGCTAGGTTTTAACTGGGCCTTGTACATAATTACGAGATCATGTGGAGAAAAGTACTTCTTAGCCCTAAGCAAATAGCCTAGCTTTTTCCCAATGACGATAAGTATTCGTGCCAGATCAAGTCTTCAGTGATCTGGACTCCGACCAGCCGAAATGAACGGCTCTTTGGTAGAACTCGGCCATCCATCGAAACCGGATCAGCGCTAGGCCGCTTCTTGTTCGTCAAGGTACAAATACTCTGTTTTGGAAGCGTTAAACTATACAAGATTGTTGCGTCCTCAAGCACGGTTAGGATGGGGAGCCAAGGTCAGGCGGGTCTTTCAGGCAGGCACATCGCTTATATAAAATATCCGCTCTACGGGATAATAAATACTCTCATGAAGAGAGAAGGAGTGGAAGTTTCGCCGTCGTCCATCAATCTCGTCTTTAAACGAAATTAAGTTTATGATGAAACATTTAGTGATATGAGGAACACATTATTTTTCTTGAATATATATGCATTCACAAACTTATTTGATACACGCCAAAAGCTGCCAAACGATTATGGAACACTTTCTATACTGATTATTCTACTACCTCGTTTTCAAGAATTGCCCCTCTTGGTTTTTTACCGAGTAATATGGTAAATTTAAATTTATGTCACATATGTCATTTTATCTACTTAATAAACTCTTATTTTGCGAAATATTTGTTAGCAGGGATTTCCTCAAGATCTTTATTTGGCAAACTTAGTTCCTCAACAATAAAAACTTCTTATTCTTCAATATTCGAATAAAGGGCGATCGACGGAGGTTTGTTCCTTGTTCACAAAACCCCCTGTGTATGAATGGAAACTTGCTCTCAATTTTGGCACATCCTGTATATCAAGGTTACGTCAAATTATGTCATTGGAATTACGTCAAACGTCATATGATTTTGACACTGACATACGACATTAATAACAATGGCCGCCATATATGGAAATTTCTAGCAAGTTTTTGAATTTGAACGTCATTTTTGAGTAATTATACGAAGTATTTTAACTCCAAAAAGTGATAACAATGGTTTTGAATAATTAAGTGGTCTTTTGAAATACATATTGTGGCGTGTAAATAGTATTTTACGAAAGAAAATAAGCTTAAAATATCTGTGCAATCATGGCATACAAAGCTTACGTGTTTTATATATCATTTTTACTTGTGATTTTTTCAAAATGCGCTTATCTAGATGATAGCATAAAGCCTAATGAACTGGCACATCAAAATGAAGGCATTACAAACCAGCAGAATACGAATAAAAACCAAACCAATACTACTATTACTTCTAAAACTGATGGTATGGTGAGTGATAAAAACAGTGGTGATAGTAAAGATAGTGTTTCAAAGGATATAACTTCAAGCAAAAAAGATAATGCAGAAGCTGCGAGTGATAATAATGCCAAAGCTGATAGTAATAGTGATAACACAAAAGCTACAGTAGATGTTAGTCCTAATCCTCTAATAAATGTTACAACAAGTACGTTGAGTAATAATAACAGTTCAGAGAAGAGCTTAGGAACATCAACAGTGAAGCCAAATAGTACCACAACAAATAGGTAATGTTTTTCTTTGTATTTACATTAGAATTAGGTACAACCTGTTCCTGAATAATTTCACAAAACTATTAGAAGATTTCTCCATCAACCTTCACCTTAGGCTTGTCATTTATAATTATTACTGTTTCCATCAAGTGTTGATCACAGGATGTTGATTAATAATAATCAACTTTATTTGCTGCTGCATGATGAGATCATATTACTACAAAAATGCAAAGAAAATATTTGATATTGTATATGTGAAAGCAAAATTGTGAGAGCTAATCTACCACTTGACTGACTGACATATTGCTTAATCACTGGACTACATAAAAAGTAGCGTAACTATGACATAACAGTGTTTTTCAATAATTTTTCAATATTCTGTCATGAACAGAATATACAAAAGTTTAATTCCAGAAAGATTGTGTGAATTCCACAGATTTGTAAAAAAATGTATTGATATGTTTTTTAATCCTACCTATATCTAATTGTATTATATTTTTTACATATATACAAAGGAATTAATATGTTATATTTTTCACAAAAAAAGTCTTTGAAATAAATCTAAAGGATTTTTCTCCACTAAACCCTTATCTTTCATATGCTCAAATTTCTTGTTTATACCTATATCCAAAAATGGTTATGATGGAACTATTGTTGTATGTTAATGTGAGAACACATAGGGCTACTCAAGAGACTTGAGTAATATTCTTGCAGACTATTTCAAATCACTGATATGTATTTTGTAATAGGCCTTGATGCACCTTGTTTTAAAATAGTCACAATATATTCAAAATCTGAATTAAATAATTTTTTAAAGCAAATTTTGAATAGTCAGTTTATTTATTTATAGTACTGAAGCTCCCCACACTGTTGATCCAGTACCTGTCTTACCAGACAAGGAGGCAGCAGAGGAAGAACACAACAGTTCCATGGCTATATTCTTTGTATTATGTGTGCTAGCATTAGGAATTTTACTAATACATCTTATGTTACAAACAGGTAATTTAGTGAAAAATAAACTAAAGGTGACATGTCACCTTAGGATAGTTTCCCAAATGCTGGTAACTTATTTTAGCAGAAAGACTTGATATTGTGACTCAGCCCCTCAACAACTGCTTCACAAAGGGGGGAAATGACGACCTGTGTAGTGGACAACCTTGTTCAGCTTCTTAGAACCGGATTCTATCATTCACAGATGCTTGGAAATACTAGTTACCTGCTACGATACGTAGAAGTGATGGTACTGTGATCGTCAAACTACTCAGGTGGCAGTGTCACTGTTATTTTTCTCTTGGAGATTTTACCTACCTGAAACTATTTGTTACATTGCAGGATTCCAATATGTTCCAGAAAGTGTTGTGATTGTCTTCTTAGGAGCACTTATAGGTTTGATAATGAATACTTTATCTAGCAGAAATATTTCAAATTGGAGGAAAGAAGAGGCATTTTCACCAACTGCCTTCTTCCTGATACTATTACCACCAATCATATTTGAATCAGGATATAACTTACATAAGGGGAATTTCTTCCAAAATATTGGGTAAGAACAAAATCATAATTATTGTATTTTTTTATTTGACTAAAGTATATCCATTATTCAACCCTGTTTTGTTGTGTTTTATAACATATTGATTTCTTATATTGTCATATCATTCTTAATATTTGCAGATCTATACTAGTCTTTGCTATATTGGGTACTACAATATCAGCATTTGTGATAGGCTTTGGTATATATTTTCTGGGTAAGATTGCTTATTTTCTATCATATGTCTAACATAGTCCAAGGCTGGTCCAAGAGTCTTGTCATGCATTCTTATTTTTTTTTTAAATCAGTACTTACAAATGAAGGGTATTATTGTTTTAGGGCTGGCAGATGTTGTATATAGATTAGGCTTTGTTGAGTCATTTGCCTTCGGATCTCTAATTTCTGCAGTAGACCCTGTAGCAACTGTAGCTATCTTCCATGCCCTGAATGTTGACCCAGTTTTGAACATGCTGGTCTTTGGTGAGAGCATATTGAATGATGCTATTGCTATTGTACTAACAAATGCTGCACTGGAGTCAAATAATCCTAGTATGAGTACTGGAGAAGCTATTGTTTTGGGTAAGTACATCTTCCGTTTTTAACATTAAAATATTCGGAATTTATAAAATGTTTGAATAAAAAAATCAAGATAATCCAAATTAATAATGTATACATCCCTGCTGACAATGGTGTGACTAAGTGACGGCATAGTAGAAAAGAAGAAAAGAAATTGTAAAGATGAGAACTTGTTATTCATAATTATTTTTGTGTTTTAGGCATTCAAAGATTCTGCTTGATGTTCTTCGCTTCAGCAGGCATAGGAGTTGTGTTTGCTCTGATCAGTGCTCTATTACTGAAGCATGTAGATCTAAGGAAGAACCCATCTCTAGAATTTGCAATGATGCTTGTTTTTACTTATGCACCATATGTACTAGCAGAAGGTGGGTAATTCTAATATTTAATATCGCATCATTTTTCAATAAATTGTAGCACCTCAGGATCTCATAACTCAACCAAATGCTCAGAGTCTTATATACACATGGTGAGAAAATGTGCTCAATATATTAATGAATATATTTTTTAGGTATTCATCTGTCTGGAATTATGGCAATTTTATTCTGTGGTATTGTGATGTCCCACTATACTCACTTTAATCTGTCAACTGTCACACAAATTACAATGCAACAGACACTCAGGACTCTAGCCTTCATTGCAGAAACATGCGTTTTTGCATATCTAGGTTTGGCATTGTTTAGCTTTAAACACCGCGTGGAACCTGCCTTAGTTGTATGGAGTCTCATTTTATGCCTAATAGGTAAGTTTAAATAAATATAAGAATATTTTCATAACTTAGACGTGCTATTGATTAACATATTATGTATTTGGCCATTCAGATGCATTTTCCAGCATCACAGCCATATTTCCAAGTCGGATAGCAGTAATTCCCTTAGAGTCAATAAAAACAGTCTCCATGTTCATTTTAAAGAAAATTGTTTATTCTTAAACATGACATCAACCTTCCAAGAAAAGACTACTCGTCAGGCCCCCCTCGTAATAATTCGTACGGTTTCATATCCTCAGAATTTCTCAAATGAAAAAAACGAAATCCCCTTACCAGCACCAACATTCGGAAATGTGGCAATGCTGACACTTTAGGATGGTGATTGACACATATAACTGCAATTTTTGTTGTTGTAGGAAGAGCTTGTAATATTTTCCCACTGGCATACTTGGTGAACAAATTCAGAGAACACCAAATCACCAGGAAAATGATGTTTATAATGTGGTTTTCTGGACTTAGAGGAGCGATTTCATATGCTCTGTCACTCCATTTGAATTTTAGCGATGAAACTAGACATGTTATTATAACAACAACACTGATCATAGTGTTGATAACGACACTCTTCTTTGGAGGTTCAACCATGCCACTACTGAAGGTGAGTTATTTATCCAGTGGTAACACAATTAATAGTAAAAAATGACAACTGTGCGATCTACATATACCATTTATCGGATATCACTCTCTGTTAACAGATGTTATTGACAAATGTAGGAAGAGTAAACTGTTATTTTATTCTTACTACACTACACTATTGAGATTAAAGAATTTTATTGGATTTTAGAAGTTCCTGTCATCTTTGGCAATTTAGGGGAATTATTCAGTAAATTTAAATTTTCTAAGATTTGGTAGATTTGAATTTTATATTTTTTCACTGCTTATTTCTCTGGTTATTGACTGCAATCCTTCAATGCCAAGCATTTTATCTATCCTTAGGTAAATAATGAAGCATCTAGGGGTATATCATGAATATTAATTGTATTCTATCAAATTTATATGTTTTTTAATATTTGGAAACTATTTTTGAGTGGGGTATAGCTTCATATAGCTATTCTTCTTGAATACGTCAATAATCTTCATAATATTGGAAAATGTATTCAGGGTTAATTGAAGGAAATTAAAATCAACGGCCAAATAGATATTCCAAAGTATTTGTAAAATAATTTGAAAATGTCAAGAATGTGATGCAAAACAGTATTTTGTGATATTACATGTATTAGTAGTAAGGGTAAAAAAAGAGAATTATCGATTATTAATGTGACAGCAAACAATTCATTCATTTAAGCTGGCTAACCTTGCTAGTTTGAACCGAATAAACAGAACAACTGCAAGTAAGTGGAAGCAAGTGTCTTTTAGACGAAAGAATGTCGTCTTGCAATTGGAAGAACTTGCATACAATTGTCTTGTGGACTGTAAAACGGTTTTTATACTTATGGAGATGAAAAAATCGAAACTGCGCAAGACAGCAGCTCAGCATTATGACAATGTCATGGAAGTTTCGATTTCTCATTTTTGTACCTAGTTCGAGACGGTAATTATTAATCTCGCATATTATCACGATAATGCTCCTTGTCACACAGCAATTAAATAAACGAGTTTTTGGCCAGTAAAAACATTCCTGTAGCTGCTCAGCCTCCTTAATCTCCTGACTTGAGTCCTTGTTACTTTTTCTTTTCCCGAAGTTGAAAAATCACCTCATTTTGGGACAGTCAAAAACATTCAAAGGGATGTTACCATCTCCAGCGCTGCGTGGCTTCAGAATGAAGTCATTTTGAGGGTGACAATAAAATTATATTTGGATATAAAAAAATTAAAAAATCAGTCTCATCACATTTACAGACCTCATATTCCTCGGCACTACGTATCTCAGATTATAAAAGTGCTCGCCCAGTAATGGCTTTCAAACTATATATAATCTACAATTTTTTTGTTCATACAAACCACCAAAAATCCTCGTCGCCTCAAAAAATACAAAGATTGATTTAGGTAATGTACTTTTTTTTAGTTCATGCAAGCCACCAAAAATCCTTCTCGCCGTCTCAAAAAACGCAAGAAGGATAGAGAAGTGACATTGAGTAAGACTAGAGAGTGGGGACAAGCTCTGGATTCTGAGCATTTGTCAGAAACTACTGAGGGTGAAATGGAGGTGACTTTCACTTCAGATAGGATTAAAGGCTTCGTCAAATATGACTTGAAGTATTTCATACCTTTCTTCACTAGGAGGTTCACACAACAGGTGAGAAAAACAAATAGAATATTGAATGGAGTATTTTCCAAAACTTTATTCTGGCGCGGTATCAGTATTTTACATATGAAAGAAATATTCTGGATGCTTTCACTTCTTCTATGAATGAATAATGCAAAACTTGTTTTTTATACTCTGTTCTGAGAAGTTGACTACTTTTGCAATGGAGGTTAGGCTTCTGTCATATGTGAGAAATAACCGTTATTCTCTGACGCCTACAGTTTGACATTTGACATTAAATGTATGGTCACGTTATATCGCTATTGGCTGGTGTTTTCGACGGAAAATATAAGGGATTTAAATGAATTCTCTTTGAATTTTAGATGCGTTTTCCCAATGCACGAGCAAAATAACGGGAGCTAACTGCATCATTCAATGGGTAGAAACAATTTATTTCAGCTGATAAAAATGCTAGTTTGTCTAGGTGGAGAAAAACTCATTTTATTGCCATATTATTTCTAACATCATGGAACACTATAGTTAGAATTCATAAGTGTTGACAGTCAATTAGTCGCATTGGGCTAGACAACATTGTAGTATGAATCTGTTGGTCACTGCTGATACCCCTTGTTGGTATTTGTTATAATAATCTCCTAGAACATAGGTTTAACCTATCATTGATGTACCTATGATAATTATATTAAAATATACGTCTTTCATTTTTTCTGTTTATACAATATAAATCGGAAAACAAGATCACTTTTAATAAAAATGTGTGCTCAAGGAGATAGCATACTAATTGTTGGTGAGGTAGATTAAAGAGCTGATATTGCACCTACAGCTTTTCGGCTTTCCGACATTTTACAAATTTCACCAAATTTGACGTTTTTCTACATTCTGTCTGCCAATGAAAATTAAGGAGCGGGTTGTGGAAGGTGCGTTGATCGGAAATTGAATTGTTTAAAATGCCACAGATTGAAAATTGGACAATATTTACCATTTTTTTTTTTAAATATGGTGGACTTGGGCGTCCGGGGGTTATCATTATTTAATAATTCACACGATTGGCCAACTTGAAAAATTTCGTCCTTATGCCGCTGATAACCGTTATTCTATAAATTCGCGTTATAGAATTGGTTGTGATAATTCATGACTTACGTGCATGTATCAAAATACTGCAATAGTATGAATTGCTGATTTCTATCTTCACGCAGGAACTGAAAGACTGCAAGAGCCAGATGACAGACCTGACGAACCAATGGTATCAGGCGATACGCATCTCGCCCGACCAATCTGAAGATGAAGATAGACTTACAACCAATACCGGACGATCTTCGATATCAAGCATAGTCCGCTGACCTTCCGTCCGCGTAGAGGTAAAACCGCACCGTTTCATTTACAAAAGAAAATCTGTATAAATGTCTTTCATTGAACACAAAGGAAGATGTTCTGGAAGTAGAGACTTTCCTTTTCAGACGTTTGAAAAGACAAAATTACGATTAGTTCTTACTGTTCATTTAAGAAATTTCTATTACTTGCTTTTAAATACTGTTCGAAGTTGTCGCTATTCGATTCAAATACAAATTTATTAACGTCTCCTCAATTTGCAACATTTGGATAAAGATAAACACACCTAGGCTGAGCGGGATGGAACCTTCCAGGAAAACTATGGGAATACACTGACAACTATTATCAAACCGACAAGTTCGTTATTGCTACGAGGATGTGCCTTTCATGGTTTTTCAAATCTAGTTTATGAATAAACAACTTGGCTTACGCGAATGGTGCGTGAAACCTGGATTGGGTACTGACATTTTTACCTAATCATATGCAGGAGCCAGGGCCTTATTTGATATCGTATATTTTTTGGGAACATAATAAATCGCTTAAAACTTTTGTGTTACTAGAAAAGAAATTGCTTATTTACATTACATTACATATTACAAAAAACTACACGCTGCTGTAGGAAGGAAAGTCCCAACTTTAAGAATGCCATGTATTGACTTTTGACTACGAGTTTTTATACAGGGCTTCTCCTAAATATACTGGAAAGATTTATAGGAATATTTTCTTGAAAGACGGTTTCTGGAAAACCACTTCGTATCGAAAATCTTGGAAGGCTAATATATTTACGATAAAACACTTGCATTCCTACTGAAGGTGTCTAGTTATTCTCTGTTGGTAAGAAGTTTCACAAATGATTTTTGCCGTTGAAAAGTGTTATGCAAAATATTGTGTCTTCAAAAGGTGCAAAATAGTCCTCAAACATTTGCTCTATGTTTAGGAGGCACTCTATCACTTTTTATATTAAAGCAAGTTTTACTATATTTCTTAAAGATTTTTAGAACATTATTAGAACTAGATGAATTTTCAAAAATCTGTGCTTTGTATGTAATACTTACTCTTTAGCCCAAAGTTTTTCCTTTGTTTTGGTGATGAATGGCTGATTGTTTTGTAAATAACAAAAGTATTGTAAATAAGTATTGTTATGTGATACTCGTTCTTGTATAGAATTGTTTGGCTTTAAGCGAAAAATGTCAAATGTACTTAAAACTTTTACCTGTGAGGTAATCAAATGTTGATTTTTGTTATAAATAGAGTGTATCACAAATTAACCGTGTATTCTGTTATCAACATGGTATCTCCTTAGTAAGTGGTTAGTAGGCAACAAGAGGCCTATCTGGGTTAGTTTGGAAAGAGCCTACTATTTAATCACATATTGAAGTAGCAAACATTATAGCATGTTTTCATATACAGGGTGTTCATTTGAATACTTCCCACAACGGATTTATTGAAAACCACTGATTAAAAGAAAAAACGCCGAGACACGTCAAAAGATTTTTCAAGGGAGATAACTTTTTAGCCAAAAACTACTTCACCCTCTGCTCCCCAGGGTCACCCCCTTAAAAATTTTAAAAGACAAAGGGATACCGAGTAATACCTGGTTTGAAGGTCTCTCCTTTATTTTGATGTTTGATTTTTTTAAATCTGTCGATTCGTTTTCAAGAAAATTAGAAAAATCTTTATTTGTATCAATTTGTTCAGATAGAAAACAAAAGCACACGAAAATATCACTTTTTCAATAAGTGTTCAAAATGTTGCCAGTTATTGGCCAAACAATGGCTTAGGCGGTGTTTAAATTCCTGGGGGACATTTTCAAAAACATGTTGTGGGATATCATGGCAGCTTTCGATGATGCGTTGATGTATTTTTTACGACTAGAGTGTATCTAAAATGTTTTTGAGAAAATAAATTGTTTCAGAAGTAAATAGTTTCGTCATGTTTAGTTTATAAAGGCATAATTTGGTACAAATCTTGAAATGGGCCAACTGAAGTGGGAAGGGGCTCGTAGTTTCCCAGTACGCCAGGGGGTCCAACACTTTTGATGATGTGTGTACTTCGAAATGGAGGGACCGATGTCGTTAGACGGTAATCCGTAAATAGTCTGGTGAAGTTGGTTACTCAAGTAATTGTTAAATAACAGTTAACTTACGGTCAATGGACAAGTTTACCATTTTCTTTTTGTTATTAGCTCAAATGAAAGTTTAGGAAAAATGAAACAAATGATTAATTTATCTCCAAAAACAAAACAGTTACAGCCTATCAAAGCTCCGCTCCGCGAGAATATTTTTATTCCGATGATTCCGTCTGTACGCTACGCGTGACGTCACACTTCAGTATCCAGTTGCAACGCCCGCGGTCGATACCTGAGCAGGAGCCGACTCAATCTGCTAAACACATGCATAGGCACACATATAGCAGGACACATGGTAGGCTAAACGTCTTCCGCCCCAATTTGTTTAATTAGTTGACTGCATATACGATCCGTTATGAGCGAAATAAGAAAAAAAGGTTTTTATAACTACTGTAGCGTTCCAAAATGTACGAGCACAACAATTACAACCCTTAATAAACATTTTTTCTACGTACCTTCACATGAAAATATAATGAAGAAATGGTGTAAACTTATGAAGCGTGATTTGACTGGGCCAAAAAGTACAACCTATGTCTGTGAGGACCACTTTGATACGAGTATATCTCTTTACTATTTATTTATGATTTTAGTTATTATATGATTTCCAAGCTCACTTCACTGTACACGCGGCATTTGGGGATGCAATATTTATCAACTAATATTACAGGTCACTTATTTCAACTTGGCGAGAATAGCTGTGAACTACTATAGTGTCACTTACCCCCCTAAAAAGGCGTCAAGTAGGTTGACTCTTTACTGTGTGCATGTGTAATGTTATTGTATACATTAATGAAATTTTAGAAAAGTATCGTGTCACATTCGCAAATCTGTACTCATATTAAGCATCAACAGTAATTTGTTTAAAACCTCAGTAGGGTATCGCACATTTTGTCGCTAGTTGTGATAGCGAAGCAGGAGACATAAATACTTGCTTCAAAAGTTTCACACTTTTAATTTCGGCGCTTGTATATGATGGATTTGAAGAAATGAATTCCATCTCTGCATAAATGTCAATTTTGGGCAAATTGTCTCTTAAACCTTTTACAAATCCGACTTCCATGATGGTATGAGCTTCCGCAGTACTCAATAGTTATCAACTGGAAATAACGTGTGCTATAATGCGCCAAATTTAAGTATCAATTTCTCTGTCATTTATTGGCCGATTTCAATAATTTTTTTGCAGTCTCTATTTTGCTAGTATGTCATTACATATGCGATTCTGAATAACACGAAACTTCTCCATTGTTAACTATTAACCAACAGTTACTATTAATTAATGCAAGTTTGTTTTAGCAAACACCCCAAAGGGGGGGGGGGTTAGTCAATGACGTCGAGCGGATTAACGGAAATAGTCCGGTGAAGTGAACTTCGCAAGTTGTCGAACAGTTTAAGGATGTTAGTTAAATTTTGTGAGGCATTATTACAATGTTTTGAAACAATGAGAAAACCAGAAATTTGTATTTTAGAAGCAGATATCTGTACTTGGAAAACGAAAGAATCTGATTTCTTAACAAAAATGGTAGAATTTTAAGCCTCTCACCATTATTTTAGTTCTATCGGAGTTGCGAAAGAAGACAATGCTTTTATAAAATACAATTTTATTACATCAACAATCGTTTACAATACAAAAAGTATACAAGATACAAAAATTAAACATTTCACAGTGCAAATTAACTCAAAGATGGATAATTTCTGTTTATAATAGTAAAACTAGTTTTCATAAATAATAAATCAAAAATTAATTGCACTAGGTGCATAAATACAAATATAAAAAATAACATTTCCAAGAAAAAAATAAGACCGATTATGTCATAAACCACAAGCTTTTTTGGAGAAGATTCAAAAGTAATTTCAATGAACATGTTTTTCTAAAATAAGAGTTAATACGATAAATTACGCTTTGGGCATTTCTAACATGTTCCGCAAAATGACTTCTTCTATGTGACATAATCCGTCTTTTTAAGCTTTTTTGTGAACATGTATAGAATTTTATCAGTGATTCACCATTTTGAATAAGGCACTTCTACTAAGCAAAATGGAAGCGATATACAGTATTCAGGTTTCTAACATACATCAGCAATTCATATCCTATACTATATAAAGAGAGACATACATAAAATGCTTTCGTTTTTAGTCTTGTTTTGCCCGAATCTTCCGTTTTTATGCGTTTTTTCAATTTATTTTTGTATGCAATAATCTGTCCAATACTAAAAGTGCATAAACATTGGCTACATATCATCCTGTATATACGTATTCTCAACAACAATGAAGGCCATGGAAGGGAAAATTAAAAATAATAAGCTGCCATTTTACGTCTACTGTACTAGAATTTCGTATTCGGGGAAGGACTTTTCTTCACCTCCATATGGTATGTAGCAAACGCCGTGAGATGGTTGGACTTTGCCCACTACCAGCGCACCATCGTGAACGACCCTTCCTACGTAAAGTGGCTCGCCGTCTTCTGATTGCCCTGAAACAAAAAAAAAATCACGTCAACTAGGATGACTCTGCACTTTCCACGCTGTAAGGATTATGTTCAGCGCAAGTTAGCAGCTCCGAGCAAAAAGTTAGCTACTAACGTATGTATAACAAAAAAAAAATGGATCAAGTCAAACAAACAGGCCCATACAATTATTGCAGAGTCCACCCATTTCATGAAGCTAGAAAGGCGCAGCAGGACTGTGCGAGCGCGAACAATACGCGACGCGTGTGTTGAGAATATTTCTCCAAGTTTTGAGGGAAAATGTGCGGGTAAATCTGTGATGTGTGAAATATACAAAGTAATCCATAAACCACTGACGTCGTACTATGTACGAGAGAGAAGCGCGAAAGGCATGCAATCCTTATGTTATAAAGAGATATAAGCACCAGGTTGCCTTGAAACCCGAGTGATGACGCCACGGCTTGCCGCGTTACCATCGGCGCACTCTTTCTAACATTAATATTGCACTCTTCTCGCACTTCTGTCTCGTACACATTACCTCGTCAGTGATATTTGGATGTATCTGTATACGATTGTGCGTAGAATTGTCGGGGTTTAAATCATTATGTACTTATGTACTTTAGTTTGAAGGTAAGATAGAACGTAGAGGTAAAATCATTTCCCCCAAAAATTTCAAATCCCTACTTAAAAGAGAGCCTCTTCTAAAACTTCACGGTTCATAGAATTAAGAGGCAGGGTATTTCACAACTTAACCGACACATTTTAACCTCATATGCACTGTTATGAAAGAAGTTGATTTCTCAAAAAAAATGTAATAAAAGTCTTACAGAAATTAAGTTATAAACCTGAGTTTCAATAATAAATTGAAATATAAATATATATCTGTATTTTGCATTCATCGTCATGATATTAAAACAGGCATTAATAATTTATTGTAGCAAATGTACAACTGACGAAAGCAAAATACCAGGATTTTTTTGTTTTTTCATACTGATAAGAACGTGTAAATAAGAGTTTAATCCATATTGTGGGTGATCTGAATGAAGAATGTTCGATTTTTGTGAAGTGAAATAAGAAAGTATTTTGCGAGTTTATGTTTTTAGTTATTAATAAAAATGGCACATGTGCACACTAATGAGGAGTTAGTGGACATTGTTTTAGCGTATGGAGAAGCAGGGCAAAATTCGCGAGCGGCTGCTCGTTTGAATGCACAGCGATTTCCGAATAGGCACATACCACATCACGAAACATTTGGTTCAATTGTTTTACGTGCACGTGCTAGTGGAGATTTGCGCAACAGACGTGGAGTGGATGGGGTCGGGTTCGCACACAAGAGTAAGATTTTGTGAGTGGTTGTTGCGAGATAATGTTCTAAATGCCCGTTTGACAGCTGATATTTTGACCACCGATGAAGCTATTTTTACTCGTAATGGGATAACCAATCTTCATAATACACGCGTTTGGTCCTTTGAGAATCTGCACGCAGTAGTCCAGACACACTTCCAACATCGTTTTCCTTTAAACGTGTGGGCTGGTATTGTCGATGAACGTCTAATTGGACATTTCATATTGCCAGATCGGATGGATGGTCACCAGTATTTGGAATTTCTTCAGAATGATTTGCCATTGGCGGTCCGAGCACGGATGTGGTTTCTGCACGATGGGGCAACTCCGTATTTTCGTTTAGAAGTTCGTGATTTTTTGAATCAGGTATATCAGATACGCTGGATCGGAAGGGGTGGACCAATTGCATGGCCTCCACGGTCTCCCGATCTACATCCCCTGGACTTCTTTTATGGGGACACTTGAAAAACGAGGTATACCGTACTCCAGTTCAGAATATTGAAGAATATTGTGAATTAGTGTTTTGAATAGCTTTTATAAGTACGTGAATTCTTAAACTGTATTACTTTATTATCTCGATTTCTGTAGAACTTTTATTACATTTGAGAAATCAACTTCTTTCGTAACAGTGCATATGTGGTTAAAATTTGTCGGATAAGTTGTCAAACACCCTGTATAAACAGGTAGCCTTTAGAATAAGTTCTCATAAACATTAGAGATACTTGCTAATCAAAACGTTGTATACTTAGTTAAAAATACAGACAATGGAAGTCCAAAAAAAATCAGTTTATATGTATGTATGTTACTACCACCATAAAATTGAGATACACCCTCCCGTACCCTTACAACTCAGAACCCACCAGTTTTGCCCATACCAAAAATTTTCTGAAAATAATCTGGAGCCTCTGGATCATAAAAAACGAAATTTGAACGATTTTAATTTTTTTCTTTTATCGACACTGGGCCGATTTTCAAAAATTTTTTCGTCCTCGAGATAGATGTCATATATCATATAGAAACATATCTCATTTTCGAAATTTTTCGCAATTACCTATACCATATCACCTAGCCAGTGGCGTTAGGAGTAAAAATAAATGAAAAATCTACGTTAGAGTGTCGAAGAAATATCCCAGTATTTTTCCCATTTTATGTATAGGGACCACACAACCGAAAGTGAGTAAGGGTCATTAATGATAGGAGAATTTTTTTTAAAGTCCTACTACGACTTTGCCTGAAATATGAGGAAAATGCGGATTATAATACATGAAATATTTAAAGGTAGATACAAAAATATGTGCTATTTTTCATCAGCATAGCTTGTAGGAAAACTTTTATAGTGGCATCAAGTACATTTTTTATGCGTATGTAGTTATCAACTCCCAGTTCTTTCCCACCAACTTAATGTGTCGAAAAAATCAATAGCTCGTACTTACCAGCTGTTAAGGCATTTGGTGGTATATTTCCTCCAGAACAAGCGACCCACTGTCCAGGGAAGTCACAGAGTACCTAGAAGCAAGAATAAACATTGTATGAAACTTGATCAGTTTCATAGTTTCAATTCATGCATGTATTATTTATTACGGATTTTATTTTTTAAAGGGTTTCATTTCACGCATGTATTCCCTTTCAACTAACTCTGTTATTGCTAATTTCATTCTGATTCTTGCAAACCACGTCTTCGAAGTGTTTTTGAAGAGAACTTTTAATCCTTACCTCGTACTCGTTGACAGAGTTCTCCTGCCCACCCCAAGCGACATAGGAGCACCCGTGACTGCTCACCAGCTTGCCGGGAATCAAACCACCGTTAAACTGCGCCCTGACTATGTAGACAGGCTCTCCGTTGTCTTCACCACCCGCGAAGGCTCTGGGGGGCACCTGACCGCTGGATGCTGGAGTCCAGCATGCGGTGGAGATTTGTCCTGGAGCTGCAAAGCCTCCGGCGTTGCCGCCTGATGGAAAACCTCCTCGGGCTAGAAAGAAAGGGAAATATTTACTCTTGTTTTTCTTTCAAGAGTGCACTGTTTTCGAAAAATATAAATAAAATAAATTAGATCATTCATGAAGAGACGAGATACAATTTATTAGGAGGCCTTGATACCAACTTGACATGTTATCGTTACTACTACGATTTTTGAGTGTTGTGAATTGGAATTTAGCAATGATGAGTATCTCGTTATTATTTTTTTCTACGGGTTTTGCGTGTGCTAAGGAACGGGCAATGTGGACTAGCGAAGACTGATTGCGTGGTTGACCACCGATCTCGGGTTATAAGAAACAAAATGAAGCGTTCCATAAAAACTGCCTAAAGAGAAAAGTTTCCATCAGGGTTAATGGTATGGGGAAGCATATCTGCTATTATCGTTGGAAAACTTCACTTCATGAATGGAACTGTAAACCAATTTGTTAGTGTCAATTCCAATTTTATCACCTGATAGAAACTTTATTTTTCAACAAGATGGGGCGTCATGTCATACGGCTAAAACCACGAAAAAATGGTTGCAGGATAATAATATTTCCGTCCTTGACTGGCCTTCCAGTAGTTCTCAGTTTAGATATTATCGAAACTGTATGGCACAAAATGAAGCAGCAGTTAGAAAATGATCCACAATGAAACATTGCCGATTTACGAGTACAATTACAAAATATATTGGATTATTTTAAGGCGAAAAACTGCGAAAACCTTGTTAAAACCATGCAAGCCAGAATTAATGCTATTATTAAGGCAAAGGGAGACGTAACGAGCTGTTGAAATGGTTCGTCCGCACATTTATGTGTCAGCCAAATATTGTTGTTATCAATATTAGTTTAGTTTTATAGTTTAATATCACATTACTTGATAATAGTTTTCAAAATACGATGTCCAAACAATATATTTCAATGTCATAAAAAAATATTTTGTAACCTTGAAAAAATAAACAAACTTTAAGATAAAATGTCCGAACTATTTTGTGTTAGGGCTCGTACTACAAATAAAACTTCTATTCCATCTTACCTTGTGGAGGTTCGATCTGCCAGGATCCAGTTGCACCCCAACCGGTACAAACACCGATGTACTGAATGTTGAGAACTTCATGGTCGGTGTAGCTTAGGAAGGGTGGGATTTCGCCTTCTCGGCCTACTGTGATCGTGGGTCCCTGCCAACGGACCCAGAACCCCCTGAATTCGTTCTCGTTCAAAATGCCAGGGGTGGGGGTTTCGGCGACGTCAGGCTTGGTGCGGTTCTTGCGGATGACTGATCTACTGTTGCCCCAACCGCCGATGAAGATCTAAACAAAATAGAATACTATTAAGGTAGAACAAACAAAATGTTGAACACTTAAGATGAACATGTTTAGGTCAAAGATTCCATATAATTGAAATTAGGGATGCGAAATAAACATCATTTCTAACACTGCTTGACAGTTTTAATAGTCAGCTTTTCATGAGGTATTACAATATTTCTAACAGGTAATTAGATCGGAATATCTTGAAAACAGTTCTCAACAACATTTTGCAGGTGTGTTAGGTACTATATCGAAACTCTTACTCTTTCCAACATTTTTTGTTTTACTACCACTGGCGCTCCCACGGAGGGGGGTAAAGGGGGTAATTAACCCCCCCCCCCAGACGACTCCAGCAGTCTTTGAAAAGGTGGTATAAAGTAAACCCGCTCAGTGCGCACGCGACTAACGACTACTCTCCCACCAACAGCAACGGTGTGCGCTTCTTCCTAGTCTAGTCTTTTATGGTCTAGTCTAGTGTCTAAATTCTGTACCAGTCCGGAGTCCGCAACAAAATTTGGCTGAGAAGTGAACAAGCGGAGTTTTGTTGATCTGGTTGGTATTAACGCTATTTTCTATGTTCTATTGATTTTTTATTTTCCACGCATAAGCCAGAAAATTAATTTTTGTTTGTTTTTAATGTTTATACTGTAAAAAAAGCGTGTCTAAAAAAATGACAGACGGAAAAATGGAAATTTAATATAATTTGAATTACGAAGTGTTTGGTCCATATTCCAGCTATCATTATCATCTATGTCTATTTTGTCGCGGAAGTCCCTGTATATAAGCACTTCAGTGCATTTCGCAGAATACCATCGATTGGTTCTTTCTAAACAAAACAAATTGTCTGATCCACCGGCACAAGAATTACCGGAAAAAACTGATGATCATCCTACAATTCAAACTGAGCCTTCCACTTCAAAATTTGTTGATGTTGCACCGTATGCTGAACCAAGTGTTGAGCAATCGGGTGCGAAACCTAAAGGATCCAATTTTGTTGATGTTGCGCCATATGTAAATATAAGCGGCAACTTGTCTTCCCATGAAAAATATACCTTATCGAGGTGTGCAATGATCCCTAATATCCCCATTCCACACACTTGAAAAGTAATAAAGAAGTGACATGTTACTTATCAAAAAAACACTTTGAGAAATTTCCTTGGCTGTCATATTCAGGGGAGCTACAAGGCTTTTCTGTAAATATTGCGTCGTTTTTGCAAAATTAGGAGGAGTACATAAATCAACTAAATTGGGAAAATTTGTTACCGTACCACTAAAGAAATGTTCGAAATTGTATGGCAAAACCGGTGATTTTGAGACATATGAGAACTCAATATATCATACAGAAGCAGTTCCAGATGCTACAAACTGTTTAAAGATTTACGAAAATCCAGAGAATGATATAAGAAATATAATAGGTTCAGAGCGAATTAAGCAAGTATCAGAAAATCGGCAAAGATTGACTCCTATAATCTACAATTTTTTTAGGACGCCAAAATATACCACTTAGAGGGCATAGAGATAGTGGACGACTTTTTTCTAATGACAGCACGAATGACGAGGATGTCCTTATTAATGATGGGAATTTTAGAGAACTAATACGGTTAAGAGTCGAGAGCGGCGACAATTTATTGAAAAACAAACTTAGAGAATCCAAAAGCGCATGCTACGTACATAAACAGGCGCATCCAAAATGAAATTATAGAATGTTGTAGAGAAGAAATCTTGGATGTAGTTTTAAGTCGCGTCAGGCAGTCAGTATTACAGTATTATATTTCACGAAACTACAGACAGCCGTAAATCACAAATGTCAATCGTATTGCGGTATCGTTATCAAAAACATATTTACGAGGACTTCATTAGATTTGTGGATTGCTACTCAAATTTTGATGAAGATACAATGGTGCCCAAACTCACAGGTCAAATTCTTGCTCAAACAGTCAAGCATTTCATTAAAACCAATAACTTAGACTCAAAACTATGTGTGGGCATTGGTACTGATACGTGTAACCTAATGTTAGGTGAACACAAGGGCGCTGTAATGGAATTGCAAAAATGTTTGCCAAATGCTAAAAAGCCCATGCGCAAATCATGCCTTGAATCTTTTGATTTCAAAAAGCAGCAGTGTCCAAGCAGTAAGAAATACTGTGTGTATAATGAAGGAAGTAACTGTGTTCTTCAAAGCATCCGCTAAAAGAAATACAGTATTAAAAAGAAAAGTAGACGGATATCAAATTCATAGAATGTTCGAAACACGATGGACCAAGAGACATGATTATGTGCTCCAATTAGAGAAAATTGTGGAGGTACTAAATATTATATCAAATTGGAAAGACCGCGAAGTTTCTTCAAAAGCGGAGTCTTTGAAGACTGCCATTACTTCCACCCAGTTTATCGTATCACTAAAGTGTTTGTGTGATATATTAGCTTTAACAGTCAACCTGAGTAAGATTTTACAATCAAAAACAATTGACAAACAATACGCTGTCAAACTCATAGGAAATATTATTTCAGTTGTACAAGAAAGACGCGCAAATTCCGAAAAACACTTTAGAATACTATTCGCATCTATAATGAAAACACATGAAACCCTGGATATTGAACCGACTGTGCCAAGAATAACAAGCAGGCAAATGAACAGACCGAACATAGTTACGTCTGACAAGGAAAATCATTACAGACTGAACCTATATGTCCCTTTGCTAGATAATACTCGTATATTTGGTATACCGGTTCAATGAAGAATCTTTGAATATATACAATTTTAATATTTTCTTTGCGTCAGCATTCAATTCAAAAACTGAAGCTGGAGTAATGGACATATTAGAAACAATCTCTAAATATTTGCATGGACTAAACAGTAACGAAAGTACCAGATTAAAAGCAGAAATTGACCTTTGGCAGTCACGTACACAAGATATTAGACAGTGGAATGTCACTGTATTTATCATGTGATGAACATTTTTCGTTCAATTAATAGATGCCTACAATTATTGATTTCATTGCCGGTAAATGGTGCGACATCTGAAAGAAGTTTCTCCCATCTAAAGAGGATAAAAACTTGGCTGCGCTCCACTATGTTACAAGAGCGATTAGTGGGTTTAGCTCGTTTTTATATGCATAGGGATATTAAAATAGACGTGACTACAATCATAGATCGGTTCGCCAGCAAAAAGAATAGGCGCCTTGATTTTGTAATATGATAACACCACAACTTTGCCTAAGGTTGTCTCTCAAATCCATCTCTTTTCTGTTGGCCAATAAATAAAAAAGCAGATGTAGTTAAGGGTTTACTTACGTTTAAACCACCACTGTTCAAATCACTTTCTAAGCTAATGTAATGACTGTTTTATTTTGAGACTCTGAACTGATGTAGTTTCATAATTTATATGTTTTTGTTTTTTGAGACTGGGTAAGAAAATGTAGTTATGCAATGAATATTTTTTGTGTTTTTCTCATGATTAAGAATTTTATTTTGATTTACATTCAGTTTTATACTTTATAGAAGTCGTTTGTTATTGTTATTTTTTTCATGAAGATGTATGTTTTGTTGTTTTGTCTGATATTGTTATGTAGAAAAGTCTGTGATAGATTATATTATTTTGCATTTTTGTTTTGATATATGAGGATTGTTCGAGCTTGGTTTGCTTAAATTACACTTTGATTTAGTATGATTCAAAATAAAAAAAAATTGTATGTATTTCCTATAGAAATTACTGTAACAAATTCATATGTCTGCATATGTCCATGCTTTTAATTTTAAATCATTATAACACTTCAGTACGTCACACTGAGAATTTACTTTCCATTTTACCCCTCCCAGACTGAGATCCTGGGAGCGCCACTGCTTGCGACAGCTAAATTATTTTATTTGGTTGTTTCAGTTGATTTATCGCGAGTCTTAAACTTCAACTAGGATTTGTCCAGTTAATCGTAGAAGTGAAAATGCAACCAACAAAATGATTTTCAGGAAATTTAGTCAAACTTCGAAACGACTAAAGGAAACCTAGTTGAAGTTTCATACGGAAAAGTTCTTTAAGTCCTTGGCCAAAATCATCTGCTAACCCCGAAGATAAACTGGGTGTTAAGTCCTGCAGAAATGTGGTTTTTTCTTACCTCGTACATAGGCTCCACTTCAGCAGCAGTTGGTGTGAGAGCAATGTGAGCGTCATTTGGGGCTCTGACTCTAAACTGAGCGAAGCCAGTGTTGTTTGGGAAGAAGCTGTATTCGAGCTTGTCTTCGGTATCAAGTTCTGTAACGAAAGAAGACACACAAATCATGAAAACTGATCTAGGAACCTTATATGGTAGAATGGTATGAAAAAATGGAGTAGAGTGACTGACACACATTGGTATAAAACTGTTGCCAATTTCTGACTACGCCCTAAAATAATCACGAAATGCGCCTAAGAACGAGGTTTTCAGTTTTTTCAAACTAGACCCCTCAAAAGTCATTTTGACTACGCCCGAAACATCGAGTAGTTAAGTTTGAAGACACTCCAAAAAAATGTTCGGTTTTTGCTTATATCTTCGCCGGCACTGTACTTGCATACCTTTTTCGCCAGTGGCTATGGTTGGAACTTGAAACCTAGTAATAAATTCTCAAAATCGTGCGAAAACTTCAAGTAGGTTGACTCTGCACTCCCTACGCTACGCCATCAGTTCATAAATTTCAGCGTAATTTAAATCGTCTGAGAAAAAAGTCAGTTACGAACATGTACAACAGAAATTGAATGGATCAAGTCAGTCAATCAATCCCATACCATTAGTCAATAATCATTATTTCCTTGCCCTACCAGTAGTTACTGTCAGTCTGGCAACATTGTCCCTTCACCCAATGCGTGGTATGTGTACGCGAATCGAACACATTTCTCTATCTCAAGCTTTAAAGGCAAATGTACGGGGAAATCTATGACGTGTGAAATGTGGCCAATAGGTGCATAGACTTACCGAGGTTGGGATCATATCAATATACTAAGGTCAACAAAATTTCATATTCCCTCTCCTACCCCCGAATTTCAACTCATCTTAACGTCAAAATCGAAAATTGAGCGAGTTTTATTTTTTCGTTTTTGACTTTTTTCTCTGCCGCCACTGGATTTATTTTCAATAACTAAAAAGCTTTACCGTTCTTAGTATAGTAGCAACCTTGTGTGAACATTTCACCAAAATTCTAGGGGTAGTTCTCAAGTTATAGACGGGCTAAGGATTAGCGGACAGACAGACATACCGACACGCAGAGACAAACCGACGGAAATGAGGAACATAATTTTATAATATCCAAAAAGCATATCTCATTTTCGAAATTTTGCGCGATTCCAATACATCTTCGCCCAGTATCGTAGGAAGTAAAACATAATGTCTTAGGCCCGTATCGTCAGTCGTCCCTACAATTGTAGGGCGCGTTTATGGCCTCCTTGATTGTCATACTTCTTTCACTCCTTCAAAAATTTCTAGATTACACTTGTCCCGTGTCAGCGTCAGCGCTCTCCTATTGTGAAGATATGTTTTTATTTAAATTGTAGGAAAATTCAGGCTGATAAAACATGATATAAGTCAAAAGCAAGCACAATTTGAGGCAAATAGATGTTTGTGACATAACCTCAAAATAGAGTTCTGACACGGAGAAGTAGAAAACTATGACAATCAAGGAGGCCATAAAGGCGCCCTACAATTCTTGGGACGACTGACGATACGGGCCTTAATTACAGAATTTTACGGGATAGCAATAAACTTTTTTTTAACAAGTGGATGAGTATTTTAAACTATCAGGTAACCACATAAACTTGTGCGGTTGCTGTATATCACACATTGCCATGGATGTTGTTGATCGATCGCGATTGTTTGTTACCTGTTGTCACTTTAGTATGAATCCTTCTTTTCTCACACACATAAAAAGTTACTGAAAATTGTTACATACTTAGTTTTAATAATTAATGGAGACGAATAAAACAGTAATTGGAAGTTGTTTACTGTACAAACTTGGTACAAAAGCTGCAGCAGGGGCGGCGCGAAAGATATGTACCGCATTCGGAGATGATGCCGTTAGTGATCGAACAGCACAGAAGTGGTACAAAAAATTTTGAGCGATGAACCGCGGTCAGGGTGACCAAAAATCATGAACAACGAGGATCTTCGACAGGTTGTGGACGCAAATTCCAGGACAACGTACCAAGAACTTGCAGAAATGTTCAGAATGAGTCCTGAAACTATTCGTTTGCATCTCCATCCAGACGTGGAAGTTAAGCAAATGGGTCCCACATGAACTGACAAATGATAATAAAGTGAGTCGTTTTACCATTTGTTCAGCAAACATTTCACGCAACGCTAATGAACCATTTCTTAATCGGTTATTAACCTGCGACGAAAAATGGATCTTGTATTCAAATTCTAAGCGTTCGTATTAATGGTTGTCGCCTACTGATACGGTACCACATACGCCCAAGGTTTCCTTTTGTTGTGTTTTGTGGACAGCAACTGGAATTGTCCATTATGAGTTTTTGGAAAGGGGTCAAATCATCACTGCTAACTTATACTGTGAGCAACTTCAATGAGTACAAGCTGCACTCATCCAGAAACAGTCTTCTTTGATCAGTCGGAAGAATGTGGTATTCTTGTACAGGATAACGCCAAGCCTCATACCGCAAATGTGACCCGAGAAAAAATTTCTGAAGGCGCCTGGGAAACGTAACTGCACCCGCCGTATTCTCTCGACATTTCGCCCAGTGAATCATTTTTTTTTGTCTCTTGTCCACTGTATGAGGCACCGACAGTTCACAACTCGATATGGTGTAATAAATGCAGTCCGCCCTATTTTTTGACTCCAAATCCAGTTCTACAATACCGGCATACAAAAATTGGGTCCACCTTGGCAAAAGGTCATTGAATGTGATGGTAATTACTTCGACGAATAAATAGTGTCTTATTGTTTCTCAATAAAAATTTATATTTTTCTACTAAAAACTGCACGAACTTATTTGGTTACCTGATATTATTATACTGTAGCGTTTTTCTGGGTCCTTTGGGTGTGGATTAAAACACTGGATTCCACAAAAAGAAATGCACTAATTTATTTAAGTGGATAAAACACCACTATTTATGTCTGACTAATTCTTATGCCACCATTGACTGCACTATACCTGACTCCGCTCTGCTACTCTACCGTATTCCGTACTTTGCCTCCATCTCCTGGCCGCCGAGTTTTATATACCTAGTCCCAGTTACCGTTTCGAGAAAAACCGGGTGTACCACAAAGCGACATCTACTAGAATGTTGGAGATCACTTCGCGTCGATCTAGAAGGCGATCCATTAACACGGTCCTCACAGACGCCGCCAGGCGGCTTGTGCGGTCGTGTACAAGCAGAGATCGGCAATTAAGCTCTGGCGAGTAGGAGACTCGCCCAACAGATGGCGCTATTTGTCACAATACATTGCGTAAAAGCACCAACGCATTAAAGGTTGTGTCTTCCTGTGAAAAGGAACAAGTCAACTGTGTTCTCCAATAACATCTGTGAGGCCTTACAGCTAAGCCAATGTATTGAATAATTATTATCGAAATAGACAGGGTCAAAATGTCAAAAAGATTAATATTTTTAAGACGCGTCCATAATTTCTCACGGTCATTTGCAATCTTATTTTTCAGTTGCAGAATTCCAGCATTCGGATTCTTGTCAACCATCTGCACAGCTGATAAAATGCAAAGAACACAAGTGATTGGACAGTCAATACTACGATAGTGACATGTCAAATGATCAGCAATCCATATCGGTGCCTCTTCAAGAGAACCTATTCGGATCCGAGAGATTGAGAGCAGCAGAATCTTAGCGCCGCCGCCGTCTAGATTACTTTTTTTATACCGAATCAGTCACGTAAGCGCGAAGCACGAAGCCTAAATACCAGGGCACCGCAGCTACTATAAGGACGTTAAAGAAATTGTTAATCCGTTCGTTGACCTGTCTAAGGTTAGTCGAAGTGGAAATAGCCTCCTTAGGTAGATTGTTCCACAACATCGGTACCCTAGGGACAAACGAGAGGTCGTATCATTCTTGGTGTACGAGGTTCGATACGGTCAGGTTACTGGATAGGCCAGAGTCAGACGGGTCCGTTAGAAAAGAGTCGTCGATCCTTTGTGAACATTATCGTACCTCTTCGCCTAGCTTTTGACCAGCAGCGGCCGCTATTGACCAGGTGTGTTTGTGCCAGATCAAGTCCTCGGTAATGTGGACTCCGGCCAGCCAAAAAAACGGCTGTTTGGTAGAACTCGGCCATCCATCGAAACCGAATGAACGCTAAGACGCTTCTTGTTCGTCAAGGTCGAACTAGAAGAACTAGAATCTTGCGTCTCCAAACAAAAATGCTCTATGCTCTAACACAACCTGCTAAAGCTAAAGCATATACTCCAGACAGCGCTACGCTTTAGCTGAAAAGTGAACGGTGGCAAATGTCAACAGATTCTGGGACATACAGTGAAAAAATATCCATATACACTTATTTTAATGAACTTGCTCTGAAAATCTAAACCCATTCTCTAACATCAACCTCCCCTGTTTCCCACCCCATCGCGTGTCACGAAGAAACATTAATCTTTCCTGGTGGCTTGTAACGGCGTCAGTTAAGCAAGCATTCCATTGTTTGATACAATTCCACCTTGATCCAAGTGGTATGCAAGTTAAAAGGCCATAAAATGAGCCGGGTTCGTGTCTCGTGACACCATCGCTGAATTTGCGAGGTTCAAATCCGTTGCGAAGCTATCGCAACCAGGTTGTCACTAGCTGGTATAAAACTTACTAGGAGGGAATGCGATATTACCTTACAGGCTAGTACATGAAGAGAAAAGGAAATATAGTATTTCTGCGAGTATCCATTACGTTAAACGTAACTGCAAATAAAAACCAATTATCTATATCCCATATCGACGAGTGACACACCATTCTGACGGATCAGTTAATGCTAGATCTGCAGGCAGATTCGTATTTAAAGAACAAAACAGACCATATGCCCACGTAATAATGTCCCATCTGAGGACTTTCGAGGAAAGTTGATAAATAAACTTGGGTCTGGTAGGAAAATTACAAGGACTTATTGTGTTTCCATATACTTTATGACAGTTCACAGAACTCAAGTTTTAAAACAAATTTTAAATGTATGAGGCTACCATCTACGAGTTGGAAAAAATCATACTCAAAATTTGTCACACATTCATCAATATCTAATCTCAAAGCAAGAGAGAATGACAGACATGATACAGTATTTCTGAGTCCGTAACTGGAATCAATGCTTTGGACCTAAAACCCCACATTTTGTCTAACGCCCCCCCCCCCACTCCTTTATACGCCACTGTGAAAAAAATGCTAACGTCTCGAACACGACCATGTAAAGAAAAAGGACGACAGATTCGGCTTCTTTAAAATTGAAAAATCAAGAAGGTCATTTCCAAAAAACCAGAACATCTCAGTACGTCTCACATGCCAGCATCATTTGCATTCATTATAATAATCATAGTAATTATTTGACTAGTTATGATGTACCAGAAATTTAGCATAAAATGAATATTGCTAGAAATGGGAGGATTGATCTAATATGGAGGGATTGCTCAATCACTAACCCGACCAAGATCAAACTAGTGCGTCCTGGTTAAGAACTAAATTGCCATTATCTACCATATGCTTAAGACGAACCTTAGAATTATTCGGCCATACGAGTATAGCTAGACGAGAAAACAATAACGTGGAAAGGTTGATCGTATCTGCAGATGTTCAGGGAAGTGGAAGGCGTGAACGTTAGACAATGAGATGGTTGGATTAAATTCAGCAATCAGAAAGAAACAAAAAAAGGAATCAAATTACCTATGGTTGAGACAAACCTAAGAATTGTTTGTATATACAGGGTGTTTCAAATTCGACCCTCACCATTGGTATCTTGGAAATGGTAAGAGATAAATGGGGGCAAAGTTGCGTATTTTTATAATCAACAAAATGCCGCTTAGACCGTCTCAAAATTCAAAGTACTTCCGGAGGGAGATGGACAAAAACCAATTTTCCCAAAATCATTTTAATTTTTTTCTGACTCTATTTGTAGTAGGATGTCAAAATAAATTGCACATTACCATTGCCACTTTTTTTCCTCTACTGACAGTTGGAATCGGTAGGTCGGTCTACCGATACCGACAAGAACAGGAATAGCGCCTCTGGTCTGGTATACGAGACAAATGAAATATGATAATTTCAAGGCCTGCCTAGGAATTTCTATTTTTCTGGAATAATTAAGGTTTGGAAATGTCAAAGTATAACATATTTATACATTTTTGAAATCAGAATTAAAAACTATATTAATCGGCGCAAAAAAATAAACTTAATGCTGGGGGATAAGAGATGAAACGTCATATTGAAATTTTAAGTATGCCATCTTGTAGAGGAGAAAAAGCAGCAATGTTAATGTGCAATTTATTTTCAAATCCCACTACAAATAAAAAGGGAAAAATTAAAACTATTCTAAATACTTGTTTGTCAAACATATTCGGTGATACATTATTTGAATTTCGAATTGCTTTACTAATATTTAAGAAAGAACACAATCTTAGTGCCTCCCTGAATTACTTTGCAATCCAAGGCATCCTCTTTCGTCTAATAAAGTTAAAATTAGCCCAATGATGTTAGTAGTCTAATTTTAAACTACTTTAAAGCTTTATTGAAGGAAACCGCACTAACGACAATATTTACCGGTTAGCTGTTAGACGAAAAAATGCATCACAGGATATTATTTAGCCGTGATGTGATAATAAAATTGGCTAATATTGCATGATACGTTAACACGCTTTGAAAATGATGTTTAAAATATTTATTAGACGTTAATTTCTTTCTTATTCTTACAAATTATTGAGAATTTGAAAGTAATTATTTTTCTACATTCGTGCAAAAATTAAGTTTTGTTGCTCACAGTTGGCAGGTGTTTATCGAGGACATGAAATCTGATAGTTCTCTTGCTCTAAAATACAAGGGAGGACTGGCAGCTGAGACTCTAAAAGCAATCATACTGGCCAGTTGTCCATGTACATTTGATAAAATGTTAATCCGAAGCTGAGATTATGCAGTATCTTGGAACTATGAAAAAATCCACTGAAAGGTTAGAAATCGATATATATATATACATATGTGATCATACTGAATCAACACTAAATTTATAATAGAGGTTTGCACAAAACGTGACGTCGAAAATTGTTAGATAACAGTACTTGCCGCAACATATTGACAATTACTATATATTTGCATAATTTTAATCAGTAACCAGGCGCAAAAATAGCCGAGTACTAAATTTAAAAATTCCGTTTACAAAGCATCCGCGAGCGCATGATAAATTGTTCGCATTCGAGACAGAAACTCAATACTAATGCAGTGTGGGTTTCAAGTTTTATTTTTATTTGGACTTCCTTCTCCTATATTCGGTCACATGGATTGATTTTCCTTCTACGTTGCTTCAACAGTCTTTCAGGCGCCGACCTCAGCATTGACGTGCAACATTTTATATTATTGGGATTTTTTCAACGAAATATAATAATAATAATAATAATCATCATCTTTATTCGTTGGTACCGTTGGTTGGTACCAAGGTACAGAGATATGGAAGTGATACTTGGAAAAGGCGAAGTTCAGCTTTCATTCCTATAGAGGAATGGCTGGTCTTCCACTTAATATATATATAGATATATATATATATAAATATAAAATTTTTCTTTTGACGAATTTTCAATATTTTGCTTCCAAAATTATATTCTGACTGATTTCACTTCTTCTATGAGCGAGCATCGGCCAAACTTGCCCTCGCAAAGTTCAAACGTGAAATTTCACGCCAAGGTATAACGTAACAAGAACACTGTCATAAAAAGAGCTGTCATGAAGGTTAGGTTTCATTCAGGAGTGAGGAAAATGATATTTTTCCCTATCTGTCTGAAATAAAAATCAGATCCTCTGATTTCTTGATAGGGCAATACCATTGATGAACGAATTCTACCTGAAGATGGTCAACCATATACTGTATAATGGCGTGAAAAGAGATAGAATGGATTGTTGTGCTACTGTCTCATAGATAGCGCTAGGATCTTCAATTCCTTTTCGGCGCATCTCGGATGCGTGCTTTGATTGGATATCTCCAGGCATTGGTTAACTAATGTTACCAAAAAGAGATTGAAGATCCTAGCGCCATCTATGAACTAGCAGTAGAACCAAACACTTCTAATTCTTTTCAAGATAGACTTCTAATTTTTTTTTAGTTGGCTATCTTTCGGTATAATTCGTTAATCAATGGCAATACAGAGTTATTTTTCAATGTACAACGAACACATTTTTCCAATGCACGAATACACGGTCATATAATTTCATCTATAAATCGTACTGATGAACCCCGACAAAGACGGAACTGTATCATGTTCGATCGATATTGGATGAGCAGTGTAATCAGATCTCTGTTTATCTGAGCAACCTATTGCGTGATATGAATAATCAATTTTCCGAGTATTTTCCCCATGATGGAATATTATTGTTATTGTGCCTTCAGAATTAAGTTATGGTGCGTATTTCCACTGAAAAATTATGGTGATAACGTATACATTATATGCATATGATGAGTCACGACCAGTGATAATATACTCTAATAATGTCGCAAAGGTCATCAGTAAAGATAAACAATTCAATAAACAACTCATTAGATTAAATACGAGGCCTAATCAAGTTGAATCATCACTATGCTGTATCTATTGGAAGCAGGAGAAAAATTAGCTTGCACGATATTATACCGAACTGAAAATTTCTTACAACATATTGAAGACATGAAAGTTCATTTAAAATGTAACGTTACTTGATAATAAAAAAGCACAAAGCGCCATGGTTAGCCGTCTTTGTGGTCGTACGAACTACTAGTTACGTCGAATCATCCAAAAGATGTTTTTGAACAATATACCTAATGGTTTTTTAGTCAAGAGAATCCTAGTTTTTGAAACTGTGTTGTTGGATACCGGCATGTTAGTCTGCATTAATTATACAAAGGGTTTACAAAAGTTTTACAATTCAGTTTTATTTATTGTCCGGGAGTGCGGCACACTGGTTGTCCCAAACCCTCAGTAGGTCGGAATCGCTAGAAAACTGTTTTCCTTTTAGCTTCATTTTCACATGCGGAAACAGCGCAAAGTCCAATAGTGGTCAAATACTCGGTGCAGGCTTTGGCGCTGTGAGCTGGAGTGTTGTCATGGTGGCGGTAGCAAGTGTCTATTCTTGTCTTGACTTTAGCCGCAGCCTTTTCATAGACTGTATGATTTTAGGCAAGCACTGTTCCGTGTACCACTTAACTGTGACTCTCTTCTATGTGTCTAAAACGACACGCTCCACAATCCCGCTTGATTTGAAATATAGCTACCATTCTTTTCTTAACAGATCGGGATTTTCTGACAGCTACGGGTGTGTCATCTTCAAAGACCCAAACTTTGTTTTTACACTGTCAATACGAATGAACAACTAAATCAACAGACGTTCTGCTCCTATGCACTCATGGACATGTCTCAACATGCAGTAACATGCAGCCTCCTGCGTCCGTTTGTCAAGTCATATTGCAAAACTCTTATAGTACTCTTTGTAGTGATGGAACATCAATTGAGTCAATCATGATTTAAAGTACTTATGATTCAAGCTTATTTAAATGACCTTTAGGGTCAGATAAATACTAGTCCTGACTGAAGCTAATTTTGAGGTGATCGCACAAACAAATCGTATCAAAAACTTTGAGGACCGACCGTGCTGTGTTCCTCCGGGAACTTGCCAGTTTGATGTTTATAAAATTCCCGTTCAAGTATTTATTGCTAGTAAATTATAATTTATCCTTCAAACCAAAATGTTTCTGAAATGCATTCCAAATATTTTCTGAGGCGCATATAAATATAAAGTTTAGTTCCAAAGCTCAGGTCTTGTCAATATAGTATATCTGAAGGATTTATAGATACATGTGCCAATGTTCCTATTCCTCTTTATGGCTACTTACTGTACATACCCAGTTCCCCGCAATTTATAGTCATGGAATAATTATGTACTAGTTTGCTAATTTCCTTGATGGTAGTTCTACATTGGTTCTAGTTCAATTTACCACGTCTGATGTCTAACCTTGCATTGTGTACAAAATAATACCTAATACTAATTTTCAAAACAGCTTCAGATCGTTTCCAAATTTTTTTTTTGATCCAAAAAATTTTTGAAGAGGTTAGAGTTTTGAAAAATTAAGTAAAATGATTTTCATCGTTTCTGATTACATATTCAAAAACATTATTGCAAGCTTCATAAATTTTTCATTTACATATAAAAATAATGATACTAAACAGCATTTGTATGCATCTTCAATGTGTATGTTATGTAGAGAATTTCAAAACACATGTATGAATGCATGGTAACTGGCAAGTACTTGACACCTGTGCTTGACACTATTTTTTCGGAATATTTTTTTATTAAGATCTGCCTTAGCTAAAGAAGACTTTAGCGTTTAGAGATTTTCTACCACTGAAGACAGTACAAAGTCTGCAACTCATAGTTGTCTCAAAGAACTTTCAATTTAAAAAAGTTTGTTTCAGCTCGCATGCAGTCTGGAGGGTCAAAAATTATCACTTATTGTTAGCCATGCTATATTATATAAGGATTTACCGCTTAAGAATTTATAGTTGGGCGTACAACCCAAAAACTTTCGTGAAACTGTAGGTATCACTTACGCGTTTTTTTCTTTCAGCAGCTGATCTAAAAAATATTTTTGAGCGGTCCGTAAGATGAGTTTGATATTACCGGATATTACAAGAAGATGTCTATCTCGTGGGGAGGGTATCGGCGATTTAAAATTGAAGAGTGGAAGGAGGGGGGCAGGGAAGATTGGAGATTTAAAATTGAGCGCGTGGGAGAGTCGTCTGCAAATTGAAAAACATTTGCTAACTCTACATGGAGGGTTCTGGCCCTAGGACACCCCCTTAAATACGTCCCTGTAAGCTGGAGGCTCGTGTCGTTGGTACGGCCTTTACCACGCCCCTGTCCCAAGATGATTTATTTCGAATTTTTATATTCAGACACTAAGTTCCTATATCTCTTGTGGTGTTTTCTGGTCTGTTTCATGATTTGATATGTTTTTTCATGGTACTACTGACTCTGAAGTCACCTTATTGTTACTTTTTAACGCACTCAGTGACGCCTGATTACGATCTTCATTTAGTAAGGGGTTTATGCCTCTTCAGTAGGTGTTGAAGTATTGGTCTAAGGTTTGAGAGATGTGGGATCTTCACTCAACATATCAAGTTGACCAACAACAAATACAATACCTCAAAGTGAATACGAAGCTTCCAAGAAAAACCTTTCTCGATACCGCAATGGTTTGTTGTGTGACCCCCAAGGTCCTCCGCATTGACCATTTTAATTTAGAATGCATGATATAATCGTCTATAAATAGCGTGTGTTGTCATTAATTTTATTCAATGCAATGAATCCTACTGTTTATGATTCAAAGGTTGATGTTTTTCAATGTATGGGGACGCATATCCTTCTTACAGGTGTATTTATTAGTTTTTGTAGTCGAATTTAGATAAGAAGGTAAGATTGGTTGAAGAGTTGATGTATGAAAGAAGCTTGAATATTATTTGACGAATATTAAAATTGTGTAAAATGTAAGGTCGACAGTACGTCAGTAAATTATGCGTATTCTATAAGCAGAATGTCATAGGTGTAGGTGAAGTTATTTGGACAAACTATTGCTTTTAAGGCCAAAAACAAAATTATTGTGATGTAGCGCAACGAGTCATATAAACAACTCTTTGATGGTTGTAGCAGATCTAATTTGTAGGGCGCGTTTATGGCCTCCTTGAATGTCATAGTTTTCTACTTCTCCGTGTCAGAACTCTATTTTGAGGTTATGTCACAAACATCTATTTGCATCAAATTGTGCTTGCTTTTGAGTTATATCATGTTTTTTCAGCCTGAAATTTCCTACAATTTAAAAAGAGAACATATCTTCACAATAGGAGAGCGCTGACGCTGACACGGGACAAGTGTAATCT